AGAAATTATTTCCATACGCACGAACAATTATTTTCCCGTGTGGGATGTATTTTTGATTTGAATTTTTGTAGGATGAAATGCATGAAAAAGTTCTGCTATTTTGTTATTATTATTAATTTATTGTTATTATGACTCATTATATTGGTTGCGCTTTGTTACTTCAAAATGAGACTGCGTCTTATATACGTTACAGACTTACGGTCTCTTTGAAGTTTGTAATACTCGCTTTGTACTCGTACCGGTGTCCGCTTTGTACTTGTACCGGTACCGTACCGGTAACCGCTGGCATTACCCCTTTACCTTTGTGGTGCATTATTTGCATTCTAGCATAGTCCAATGGCAATTGTTCAGTTTGTAGAATTGAATAGGTGCCGTACCGATACCGTAAAAGCAGGTAACTTCGGATGGTTTGTAACTTCGGATGAAATTTTAATCGTTTTTATCTCGACTAAATTGCGTCATATTGTGCTTATGACAGTTTCTATAGTGAGGACTTATATATCTAAATCTGTTATCACATTCAATCGCGCAGTTTAATTTATTTTATGATTGAAAAAATCACGTTTTAGCATAAAATTGACACTGCGGCTCAAATCGTGACTTCTACTGATGCTAACTTCGTCAAGATAGCGTCATTCGATAGAGGGCGTTATCAATGTATATAGAAAATTAGACTGATCGCGAGATGTCGTATGAAACCCGATAAAAAATTGAAATTTGAATAATTTTTTTTTATCACGATAATAGCATCTGACGCACACGTTGAACTTGACGTCACCCTAACGTCGCTCACTTCGAGGACAACGTCATGTGACGTCGCCGTTACAGGTTTGACGCCAGACATTCGGGCACCAACGAGTTGGCGTAGATTTGAAAATAACAACGATATTTTGTTCGATTGATCAAAATCGGCAAAATATACGCATCAACCATTTTCTGTGGATCGTAAATTCATGGCGTCAAATGCTGGAAATGTAATTCAATTAAATTTATTAAAAATGGCAATTAATGAAAAGCATATCCATTCGATTTGACGATTTCAAATTTCTCCATTTGGTACGACAACATGGTTCAAAATAGAAAAATTGTAAGCAGTCGAGAAATATTGCGTAAATATAAAAATATATAACCAGCGATAAATACCAACAATCATTGTTGCAAGTGAGTTCTGTTTCTTGAATTTAACGAAAGTAATTTAAGATTTATGCACGGCCGACATTTAAATAGGTCAATTTAATAAAGAGTGCTGTCATGTGCATGCTCAATAATATATATTGTGCGACTATACATGGTGTGACTGTGGAGTGTAAAAAACGCTATCAAAACATCATCGGCTATAACTAAATCGACTATGATCGGTGAATATTCGGATCTAAAGTTACGATAAGAGAAAATAAAACGAGACATTTTAGTATAAAAACAACTTGAAAGTCCCGCGCCGGAAATCCCACGGTCGACATTATCATCGTCACTCGCGACGTGGGTTGAACATCTGGCATTTACGCAACGACGTAAAGCGTGTTTTGTCCTCACGCGCGCACTTTTTTCTCTAGTTGCGGTGACGCAGGGAGGGGATACACCCATCCGAAGTTAGATATTTATTTGCGTCGTTACAGATCACAGAAAATGAGACAATTAAGACAGAAAAAATGATCCGATCATCGAGAAAATTATATGTAGATGCAGAGAATCACATTAATGTAATATATTTCAAGTTTGACGCGAATTGGACAACAAACGGCGGAGTTATCGATTAAAATATAGTGAAATCACCCGAAGTTAGCTGCTTTTACGGTACGTAACCTGTATGTTGTATGTATGTTTCAATCAATCATTTTATTTCAGCTCTCTGACCTAAAACCGAACAACACAAAAAGTACCGAAAACAGACAACAAATACAGAAATACCTGGAAGGCGAGAATAAATTAAAAAACGTACAAATACGCGCCCACCCACCAAAAATAAAAAAATACGAGTATACAAAAAAATATGGACACGATTCAAAATCGGGCAATGCTTATAACTTAATTTAAAATGATAAAAGACACATAATTCTGTAATTGTTGGAATCCGTGGATAATTTACATGGAGTAAAAAAGTGTTGCGCGTGGAATAAAACAGCCTTAATTCAGTTAGATAAAGTTTAATGTAATAGAATCCTAACGACCTCCTCAGTCTCTGATTTTTGAAAACCTAATGATTCAAATGATCGTATACGATTATGATAGCTGAGAAATCGCCAAGATTAATTTTGCAGTAAATATATATAAATACAGCTGATCCTGAATGCTGTAAATTCTGGGGCTGGCAGTCTGGGATGTTAATTCGTTTTGTAAAAACTTATATAACAGTATAACAGTATGGTACCGGTACCGAATTTTTTAGTATATGCAATTTTGCATGCAGAAGAAGAATTTAGAAATTTAAATGAAATTGATATAGACTATAAGTATAATGATAATATTATATTTGTATATTTTGATTTTCCTTACTACTCTAAAAACAGAAGTACGGTACCAAGTATTTAATTAAATTGAAATTTGGAAAGTACCCGTACTGAATGTTATTACTATAGCACGATCAGACGATTAACAAAAGATAGAATTTACATATTTATTTCGGGGTAGAGGAATGCCGATTGCAAGCTTCTCGTTCAGTTACAGAGTTACCAGTTCATGTTGGGTACCGGTATGGAATTGATTAGTCGGTTTGTTTCAAATGCGTAGACTGGGTGAAGGAGGCAGTGAACCAGAGTTATGTGAACCACCCTATTTTGACCAAATTATTTATTGGCAATCGCTTGTTCAAGTTTCACTGAATTTGACAAATCTCAAATTACAGAATTAAAAGATATTTAATCTTATATACTAAGCTATCATCTTTTTTTCCTCTATAGAAAATATTTCCCTAAATTCGAGCTGTTAATTCTACTCAAAATTGTCGGGGGAATTATTACTGATTCCCAGACAGATTAAAGTATTGAATCAGGTTTAGTTTAATTCTACCTCAGCAAGTTATGACGATTATTGAGGCATGACTGGCCAGAATATTCTCATCTCAATTTATGAGCGATTGTGCTGCTAGCTTTTTGTTTTTTTCATGTTAGGTCAAGTCATGGTAAAGTTGACTAATACTGAATAAGTCCTCAATCCTTGTTCTAACACAGTAACATAGAAATTCACCTCCGTGCAAAACTTTTTGTCTTTTTCCAACCTGTGGGTCTGTGTCGACTGTTTTGAGTTTTGTTTACGGTCTTTGTCATAAACTGGGTTGCTTTAAAATCATCTTGTGTCACTTGTTTTTTTCAACAAAAACTTGGTAAAAATTTCCCATTTCATTGCCAGTAGATTTTATTGTTTATTTTATATCAAGTATTAGAGTGTTGCTCATTAGTAACTGTTTATGTGGTATCATAGCATAAAAACTTGGCAGTATCTGTTTTGCTTAAGTGAAGCCACGCCACGATTTTAGAAACTCGCTGATTACAATCAGGCAGATGTGGATTTGATTTGTAAATATTATCTTTTGTTCTAAGGCAGGGGTCGGGAACCCATGGCTCGCGAGCCATATATGGCTCTTTTGGTGACGGCATATGGCTCCCAGAAAAATCTAATATTCTAAGACTAAGCTTACTATTGTTTTGAGATCCCAAACTCTTTTATAGCCGAATTTGGCAGGAAATTCCCAATACGTTTCAAAACACGCGCCCAGCACATGTCTATGTTATGTAAGATATTTACTAGACAGGCATTGTGACAAACAAGGGGATTCTGGAACATATATTGTGACATCACAAAGCGTTAGTTTTAAAAACACTACGGAGATGCCTAAACGAAAAAGGGTGATGAGTATCGTAGATTTCCACATTGGGCTTGATGTGAGCAACCGTTCAAGGCCCGCAGCGCCTACATGCAGCATCAGAAATCACACTAAATGTATATTGACATTGTGTGTGTTGACTTTTGAGTAAACATTTCAGGTCTGATTAATTGAAGAAATGTTATATGGCTCGCACAGAAATGCAATTGAAAATATGTATATTTTATGGCTCTCTTGACCAAAAAGGTTCCCGACCCCTGTTCTAAGGTGACTTTGGTGCTCCAGAGGTATGTGTACCAATATGGAAGTAACTAATTTTTTTTGCTTACTTTACATCAAGTTGTGTAAAGGGACTGAAGCCAATGGGCAAGAATATATTCACTTGGCTAATACTGACAGTACCGAACTCGTAATAGAACAAAAATAAGGAAATTTGGAGTAAAAATATGGCCTAACCCTAACCTGGTACACATACTACGGAAGTACCGGAATTTCTAAGTAAAAAAAGACATTCAAAAATAATTGTTTTACATAGTCTTTCAATTTTGCGACTGAAAAACACTACATTGCACTTCTATGTGAGCATATCCTTGGGTCGTGAAATATCACAAAATTTATTTTTTTAAAAATTTGAGGTGGTTTGAAAAAAGGTTGGGAAACTCTGTATTAGAGCATGCTTACACTATATTGGTTTTCTCATGGGATTGTAGGCAAAAACTCTGTATGTTTTGCTGAGAATGGGTCAAGTTAATGTAAGCAGGTTTTATTTCTTGGTGTCTTCGCGACTCATATTTATCCATTTCACTGTTGTTTATGAAATCTCTCATTATTACTCATTATTATTACCTCCATACTGTGACTCCACTTACTCTTGGGGTTAAAAATTTGCTGCGACTAAGATTAGACTTTAAATTTTGAATGACCTGTGGCTCGACTTCAGACTCGGCATTTAGAGACTTCTACTCAAATGGAAATGGGAATCATTGAAGCATGACTGGTCAGAATAATCCTAATACTAATGTCAAAGTGCTGTTGCTGCTAGTTTCTAGTTTATCAGGCTTTTGGTCAAGTGAAGTTTATTTGAGCCAAGGTTTTTAGTGTTTTACAGGTAAAATGTTTTTCCCAAGTATGATATATAAATTACAAATATAACTTACACCTGTTTTATATTTTTCAGAATCTAATCTTTAGAATGTGATAATGCTAGCTTTGGTGATATTTCGTATTCTCAATTTTATTGCTGCAAGTTTCTTCATTTTGTCAGCATTTGTACAATACAATGACCCATATCCTGAGCTATGGATTCCAGTATATCTGGCTCCTGCTATCATTTCTGGATTAATTGGTTTTAGGCTGTCACTATCTGGATCAAAATTCATAAAAGTTTTTGACTTTGGATATATTTTCTTTGGAACTATTTTATCTGCCCATTTGTTCCATCAAAGCTATCAGGATAATTTCATCCACTGGGTGGTGCATGATGAAGGGGGGAGGGAGTTTGGCGGACTTGTGATTGTTATATTTTGGATTATTTTTATGCACGAAACATCACATTTATCTGTGAAGAATTGGTTATCGTCGGTTTTTATATGGATTCCGATTGCAATGTGGATTTATGTTTATAACAATCAAGAATATCGTGAACTTTGGCCTCAACATTGCCAGACTGCTCTTTATCCGGAAAGTTATCCTCCAAGAGAGGAAGGCTGATAAGACAACTTGACAATTTTTGTTATAAGAAAATTTCTCTAAGTAAGGTTATGCACACGAAGTCAAAAGTAAAAGAGGTCTTTTTAGATAAGTTACAGGCGACCACAGAAGTGTCAAGAGCTGTTGACATGGTAAAGATTTATATTAATTAACTAGATTTTAGTAAATACCAAATGACACAAGGCTTGAAGGAGCTCAATATAACTAGAAAAACAGTTGATAAATTGGAGTGTACTAATACTGACGTCCGCCAGGTTACCATAAATCTGCCACTACTTTAGGAAAGATATTCAAATGTCTTATAATATACCAGCATGGTCCCAAAAGCAGGATATGAGAAGTCGGTAAATCATAATGATTTGAGCATAAAGCGTTTGATTGAACATTTTACTACTTGATTTTTAGGATAGAATAGAATTTACATATTTATTCCCTTGGGAAAGTCATTTCCGTATGAAAGTCAGTCCGACCAGTGCCTAACGTTACGTGAACCACCCTACGGCCGTGAGGAGTCCAGCAATCCTCTCGTACATACTTATCCCTCACAGAGGATTCGAACCTGCGGTCTTGCGCAAGGTAATCAAAGGTGCGGTGGCGGGCATATTCCCAATATTAAGCCTGATGCGATACATTGTCCTGTTCTCTTTTAATTTAATTTTATGACAAAAAGTAAGACTTTAGTTTGAGAGAAATTAGCTATACATTTTAAGTTGTATTCTGAACACCTATGACAAATTCTACATGGCTATTTATATTTGTTTTATTCCTGTCATATTTAGCCTTGAATTACAGAGTCGATAGTTAGAAATATCAGTAAAATGCCTCTCGAAATTAAAGTGAAGACTAATGGACATGCAAATAGGATTTTACAAGACTTGAACAGGTGAGTGTGATACAGCGATATCTAAAATGATGTGGTTAAAGCAGGGTTTCCTAAGCTTTCTTCAGGACGACCCCAAAGACAACTTTCAAGTGTCCAGTGCGACCCCAGGTCAATATACATATTTTTCATGAAATTTTAGAGCTTCTTTCATTGGACTTGAGTTGGGTTTGGTCATGTGGTGGTACTAGATAAAATAAGCTAAAACCAAACAGTGATGTCACAATGAGCACCTACATTTTCTATAGCATAAGCATAGAGCGATGCCTATGGGCCTGTTTAACAGTAAGCCATGGTACAAACTGCTAAGTTTAACATGGTTTGTCAAATCTGAGATGTTTTGTACATCCATCCTCTACCATACTTCAGCGACCCCATGACCTGTTTGCGACCCTATCTACTTATCACTCTGACCCAATTTGGGGTCGCGACCCCCTGGTTTGGGAACCCCTGGGTTAAACAAATTTCGTTGTTTTAGCTAAAAAAAGCTCAAGGTTTCGGGGTTGTATTGTCATTCTTTGGCAGGAATTCTGCCATGTATTTTATCTATTTCTCCAATGTCTCCGGTATTAGTAAGGATTCATTAAAGATTGAATTAGTAAAGTATTATTAAATGTGGAGTGAGGGAGGAATAATAGTTCCAAAATAGGGAAAGGAAGGGGGGGGGGGGGGTATTTCATGAAAAAGATTTGGAACCACTGGGTTAAAGCATTGGACATTACTGTATTGGCATTGCAGGTAACACAAGTTTGAGTTCAAATCTCATTTGATATATCAAATTTTAATTTCGGGAATGATTTAAAACTGTTTATATGAAAATTTTATTGATTTGACATCTGATGGTGAGACAAACACTTCATTTATATAATACCTGATTTTGCTTCTAAGACCATCAGTTCTTATATTTGCCATGTTTCATATTAAAAAACCAACAAACAAATGAGTAGATGCATTACTGTTAAAGAAATGACCAAATGCCGGTCCTTTTACATTAAAATAATATGGTCATCGCGACTGGCACCATGTGATGGCTTTTGCATGTGCTACTCCATAACAAGCCTCATGAGCCATGAGCCTCTTGGACAAGAACAAGGGTCCATTCTTGAAAAACTCAGATATAAACTATTCTTTCCTACTTATCATATATCCTCGCATATAAGCCGACCCCCTAAAAACACCCTTAAAGCGGGGAATTTATAAAAATTCGCATATAAGCCAACACTACAAATCGGAGAAGGCCATACACACCTATCACAACCAGGGATGTTCAATTTGAATTTAATATTCAATATGGCAATTCGCTACCTTCAGAATATCGTTTTTAGTGAAAATTGATATCGCGCACACATCCTAGCGCCCTCCATCCACGTTTTGATTGAAAACATTTTTCGATTACGACTTATTTTAATAAGTAAACAAATAGCTCGTGGAGCCCCTAGGTTTCTCTTTCAGAGCCATGGGCACTTTGAGAACCTATGTTCTAGTGAACATATTTATCGGGTGGTTTCACGTCTTCTTTGCAAACATGACTCTAGCTCAGGGGTGGGTAACATCAAAATTTGGTTTCTGTTTGGTTGTGGCAGCATCAGGCTGGTCAGATTGAATTACCCAATGGGCTGTAGTTTTCCTATGCCAGCTCTATCTATTCAGCCATGGATATAGGAGCAGCTGTTATGTTGCTGTAAGGTTCACTCTGGTTTGGGATATGACTTATCTATCTATATATATTTTTATACATCTATCTATCTATACTGGGTTAACTGGTGGTTGTGAGGTTTTTTTCGAAATCGAGTGTTCACTCCTGAATTAAAGTACCAGTATATTAAAGAAAGCTTGCTCGCGCCAAAGTCTAAGACAATTAGGTATGCGGTCTTTTACTCACAAGCCAAAAATAAACTGCAAAATTCGGCTTTAAGAAAACCACGATTTCTGGTGTTCACTGGGGCATACGTGCCTCTCAAGTCAAAAAATAAAGTGCGAGAATCTAGTTTAATTAAAAAAAACACTGATTTTTGGTGTTCACTCTGAGAAAATTATGAGTTTGTATGTGCATTGCAAGCCAAGAAATAAAATGGAATTCTGGTTGAATTTAAAATAACTCTTGTTTTTGGCGTTCACTCTAGAAAATTAGAAGTTGACAAAATACTTAAGTTAGTTATCTTTTTGTTATTTTGTTAATGACTCATTTTAAACAGCATAGGTACTCGATTATTTATACTTTTCCCATACCTTTGCTTTATGATATCGGACTAAAAATTTGAAGTCTAGATCTTTTATCACTTTTATTAGCAGATGTCACAAGATTTGTTTATCCAGTCATTTACTCTGGCCCCGGTTGCCGCCACCCAATTCCTTAACAAGACTATAGCTCTTGATGGTGATGGGAATGAAATATGCCTTTCACTCCAAACAAGGCTCTGCACAAGCAGAGTCCCTGGCATGTAAACAGCTAGGTACTTTGTTTTGGAAGGACTGGAATCTTTCCTGTTCTGCATTTTCTGCCCAATGGGTGACATGTTGGGCATGGAATTTTAATCCAAGATTTTTATCCGTGATGCCCTCATAGTTGAATTTTATGCTTCAGCCGCTAGGTCAATTCCCACAGTTTTTATTTGTGCATTGGTGCGGGATGTCCCCAAAATTTATTGATCAATATTCAATTCTTAACTGATCAATACCTTTTATGTGCTTTCGTCTATTTATTTATTTTTTTAATAATCCACCTACGGAGCCACAGAATATTCAAGGCTCAAGCTTTTGTGCTTTGTTCTTTTACATAAGAGCTGGGCTTCGGCTCCATACCCCGATTGGGATTTTTAAGTGTGCCCACTGTTAAAGCGGTTCAAATGTATATTTAATAATTATCCAGAGCAATAACCAAAGTAACACATAAGCAACACCAACCGCACTGTGCACCAGCCTACTGAATGCACATGGCCACTTAGGATAGGATTTACATGTTTATCCCGGGGGAGAGGAAAGCCAATAAGAGGGCTTAACCATATGGCGAACCACAGCCTCTCGTCCGGTTACCAGTCCATGTCGGGTATGGGATTAGTTTTAGTTATTTGTTTTTCGGAAGCATGGACTCAATGGTGGAGGAAGCCATACCCGACCAGCGGTTACGTTAACCACCCTACGACGGCGCGGAGTCCAGCAATCCTCTTGCACATAACTACCCCGCATGGGATTCGAACCTGCGAATCCACGCAGGGTAATCAGAGATGCGGTGGCGAGTGTATTCCTAACGCTTAGCACGACGAGCCACACCGGCGCGCCTTCACCTTCACAGCTGGTTGGTGATGATCAGTCACCTGTAACTGATGACATCAAAGGTCGTGCTCAACCATCTGGAAAATAATAATTGCCAGAAATACAGTTAACAATCACTACTAAGATCATACCATATCTGCCCGAGTACTGTTTCGTGAAAGCGTGACTCAAATTTCAAAATTAAATTAATTCAGTATGTATAATTAAAAGTTAACTTTACGATTTGAAATCCTTATACCATTGGCTTCACTCCCTCATGCCTGCATTCTGAGTTAATTCGTCATGGTAGTGGTCAAACCAAAAGAAGAGCTGGAGTCACAGTTTGAACAGACTATAGCATCATAACTGCAAATAGAACCACAGTGATTTCAAACCAGCTTCCCGGCCCTGCACTAATACATGCAAATTCACACAGTGATATCTTGTGCTGATTAGCAAAGGTAATTAGCGCAATGTTGATTTAAAATATAATTTTGCAGAAGCAGAAAGGAAACTCGTGTTCATTGTGATTTCATGATCATAGCTGGCTCTGAAGAAATCCCAGTTCATAAGAATATTATATCTGTAGGATCTGATTATTTCAGAGCAATGCTGGCTCATAATGTAAGTTGCGTTCATTGATGTTTGTTGTTTTTGACTGTTTCCCCTAGACATGCATCATCTCGTCACTGATTTCCCTGTGAATGACTCTCAAGTTCAAATTCTAGGTATGATCAGGAATGATTTAGTTCGGTTAGCAGTTCATTCTGAGTATTTCTTTCATTCTTGGAATAATTGACCAGTTTGGTCCTTTTCGACTTAATAATGGAGGGATTTGTGCGTGACCAATCGTTATGTGAACCTACTGCTCGTAGTTTAACAATCGAGGAGTCTGCACATAATTATATCATATGAAATTTAAACCCACTTATCGCAGAGGTCTCTTAGAAAGCGCATTCCTGAGACCCAGTGTAGCAAATTAAACTTGTCAACTAATCTGTCTGTCCTAATAGGCAATCCCGAGTTATGCATCCATCAACACGTCATCTTGCACTCGGATGAAAAGGCAATGTCTATTGATATTGCAATAATCTTTTTCCCTAAAACATCATGTCAGAAATGTTGTGAAAATACCATATCATAGAAGTTAATTAACGCAACACTTGCTGTAGCTTTTATCATTGGCTTCATCTCTCTTCAGAATGCTGAGACAGCGTCTGGTAAAGTGGAAATGAAAGAAGTTGATCCACTATCACTGCAACAATGCGTAGAATATATTTACACTGGTGAATTGTCTACTACTGATGAAAATGCTGAATCTTTGATGTACGTGGCTGAATTACTACAGTTGAAAGGTGATGATTTAAAATAGATCTTTCTTTGAGATCGTACCGAGATTCACTCAATCCTCTGTGATTCAAATTAACCGTACAATCCCCCCACAAATAGAGCTATTTGGTTTGCATGGGTCTGAATTTCTTTGGTTACCCTGGCATGTTTCTCACTGAACCCAGTTGCCGGTTTCTCGCTGAATAGAAAACCTGTTGGTTTCTTACTTCATTCAACCTTGTTAATTAATATGTCATTAGTTATCAATTGTCATTCCATGTCAAACAGGATAAAAACCAAAAAAAAAACAGAAGCCATAAACTATTTATTAAAAACCTATTTAACACTTGAACTTTGTTTGTGTATAATTGTACCCGAAAGTTTCTGTAATCTAAAGTTATTTTCTCTCTAGAATATGACCTAGGTTCTGTTTTTGGGCCACCTTGTATGACTCCTCTACATTGCATGTAAAAGTTACAAAAGAACAATATTCAATAAATGTTGTGGGGACAAGTCAATATGTGTTATTGCTCATAGATAAAAGTAAAAAAAGAGATATAATACGTCTTGTTTTTTTTATTATAACAGATGTCGGCAGAGGTATCGTTGATTCACTTGAAGAAAATCTCGAAGCATCTACAGAATCATTCTTTGTGACAAAAAGAATCGCAAACCTGTACAATTACAAAGAATTTATGCAAAAATGCGAGAAGTTCATGCTGGATAAATTTGGAGAAATTGCGGTTCTTGATGAGTTCAAAGAAATAGAGGAAAAGCAATTTGTTAGATTGATCAAGTCACAAGAAAATAAGGTATTTTTAGTGTTTGGTTAAGTTTGTTTCACATTTCACTCTGAAGTTGACTCTATTTAGTAACCACTCATACAATGGTTCGAGGCTTTGGTGCTTAACATACCTGGATCGCCACTCATTCGTACGAAATTACCTGGCTTGGAAGAGCGCACTGTATTTCTACCTTATTTCTCACTCCGGTTGTGATGATAAGATTGGACTGAACAAATAAGTTCTTACCCTTGAAATCCTGGCAATATTCAAGCAAGGAATTTAAGCATCCTAATGTCTTAGATTACAGCATGAATCCTAAGTGTTTTTTTCTGTAAATTATTAGATACCAGTGAATTTTAATGTTTCACATATTCTGTATTCCTTCCAGGCATCAGAGAGTGTTAAGCTAAAGGCGTTCATATCTTGGATAAAACATGAGCAAATAAATCGCAAAAAACTTCTGAAGAAATTGAACAACTACATTGATTTGCATAAAGTACCGGTGACTTATAGAAGATTTCTTGTTGAAAACGAGGTCGGGTATTTTTAAATTCATATATTTGAACCATACAACGTTTTTTGCAACGGTTAAATGAGTTTGAATATAATATTAGGAATTATCTGACTAAAGAGGATGCGTAGTTTGGAATATTTTAATAAAGCATGAAGTCCTATTTTAAACAACCTGGTGTCGAACCCCGGGTCAACATTTTAATTTCTTTTGAGTAGGGATGTGTGGAATGTGCCTAAGTTTTGTGCCAAACTTAATTTTCTGGGACTTTAAAGCTTGAGTGTGTTTAAATTTTCTTTAACCTGGGGTTGAGTAAACTTTCCCCACACTCCGCAGCTAATATGCAACATCAATTTTATTTTTTGGTATAATGCAACATTTATCACATTACACACATTGATCATTTCAGCCAATGGTAAAGTCATGTCCTGAATGCTATCAAGCTCTCTGTATCTCTGTGATGGATAGCTTAAACGTTGATGCTTCAGATATTCACTCTGCTGAGAATATAAAACAAGAACGAAAGGAAGCAAGTAAGTTGAATTTCGTCTTGGAGAATATGGAAAACCTTTCGTCATTTAAAACTTAGAAGCTTACCCAACTGTAGATTGGTTCTAACTCGAACGATGCTATAGTTGGCTGTATTTCTGATACTTGCTTTTCCTTTCTTATACAAAGTTGATTTCTTACAGTTGCTGTATTTGATGAAAACTCAAAGAGCCTTCAATGCTTTAATCCTCGGAATAATACTTGGACAAAAATGCAGGTTGGTATTTGATAACATTACCTCAGGTATATTGTGCCAATCGTGCTTTACATAGAAAATTTATTACATTAGTCTTCATTCTTACTCCAGATGTTAAAAAGTAATGCTCAAAGCTTGTGTTTTTTTGCGATTGGATTGCAAGATGGGGTTGTGGTAGTCCGGTTCGACCTATAGTATTGTTGCGTCACATATTTTATTTCAACGAATGACTGTGTTTGGCCATCTTATCCTCTTTTCATTTCCCCCCTCCAGGATAGATTTAAACTTTGCTACCTGAGTTGTACTATTTCACTTTGGTACTCAATCGAAGTATGTAATATGGGATTTACATATTTAATCCAAGGGAGAGGAAAGCCAATAAGACGACTTAATCATATGGCGGACCACGGCCTCTCCTTCATTTACCAGTCCATGTCGAATATGGGATTAGTTTTTTGCAAGCATTAACTTGATGGTGGAGGAATTCGTAACCCAACCAGCGGTTATGTGAACTACCCTATAGTGGCGATGAGTCCAGCAATCCTCTTGCACATAATCATACAGGCACGGAGTTAGAACCTGCGACCCCACGCAAGGTAATCAGAGGTGCGGTGGAGAGCGCATTACTAATGCTTAGCATGATGTGCCATCCGTGGACAAGGCCTTTTTAGGACGATTATTTGAGCGGGATTATATTCTCTCATCCCTCTACTTCATGCATCTGTATTTAAGTAAACATTTTAATCTTGTTTATTAATATTTTCCAGAACCTACCTGGATCAGAATTACTCTTTTCTGCTGTGGCTCTTGGTGACTACATTTATGTTCTAATGGGAGATCAATCTGTCCATCGACTGAAATACTCAGATCATGAAGCTACTTGGGAGAGAATGAATGATATGATGTATAGCCATGGAAATTGTCCTCCTGTTGCTGTTTTGCCTGGTAAGAATTGTTTCAACAATTCTTTTGCTAAACAATATCTTGTTACCGTTGCCTCAAGACTAGTAATTGAGTTTTTTAAATATCCTGTTGCTGTTTTATTAGGTGAGAAATTGCTTCAAGAATTCTTAGTACTGGTCTGTTTAAGGATTTAATGAAAAACATATTTTAATAGCATTTGGTATCTAATTCCAGTTCAGCCTTGTATTGTAACTATATCACTTCATTGTGAGTGACCCAAAATTCTTCTGAGAGCTTTGTGCACAAAATACTGATAATTTTTTTCTGATTTGTAAAACTTGTCACTTGATCAAAGTGTAAAATACAAATTATATTTTCATATTAACACCATTGAAGAATTATAACACAATCTATCTGTGTAAGAAATAGTAGTTGTTTCGTAAGATCATATATTTTTTGAGTTCAGGCAAAACCAGGGTAAATGCCAAGACAAATATTGCCAAAATAATTAGGATTGGGTCACTTTGCTTAAACATGCAGATCCGGAATTGAAAGGACAAAGGACTTGAGTTTATTATACAATACACTAACACTCCTGTTTTAAGATCAGTAGTTTATTTGTGTTTGTATATATCCCATGAAAACTTTTTTTTTATTTTTGGTTAATGTTTGTCTTCCATTGCTATTGTCTTATCTATTATTATGACATGATTTATATTTGTATAAATACCACGAGTTTGCTTTGCCTCAAGATAGTTCTTCACTTTATCTTCTATTATTTTTCAAGTATCATTTGCTTTCTATCATTGGTCTGAAATATAAATTGTTTACAGGAAACCTCTACGTTGTTGGTTCTTCCGGTGATTACTCAAAATTAGTTAAAAAGTTCGACCCATCAAGCAACAAATGGAAGAAAGTGAAAGACAAAAATCTCAACAGTGCAAATTCAACAGCACTGGGTGCTAAAGGTTAGAAGGTGTTGTCTAATAAATAAATGGGTCTCCCAAAATATGTGAATCAAGATAGCGACACCGGAACGTAGTATGTGTACCAGGTTGGGTTAGGCCATAATTTCAGGTACAAATACTTGGATAGTCCCCGAACTCGTAATAGAACTAAAATAGGGAAAATTGGAATAAATTATGGCCTAACCCTAACCTGGTACACATACTAAGTTCCAGTGTCCGCTATCGTAGTTCACATACTTCGGGAGCGCCAAAAAAATGTCATATACATTGAACTGACTCGAAACAGGCAGTTCATACAAACAGGGTAATAAATGGTATTGTCGCTGACCATATAACCAACTTAAATAAATCTAGCTGGACCAATAAATGCTCTGCTTTACAGTAATAAAGGCATGACAAGAGGCGAAAGTATTTAACACATTAAAAGAACATAAAAAACATTTTAACCCATGTGGGCGAACTATTTAAACATGAACTGCCGGATTAACTCTTTATGCTTGATGGGGAAAAATGAGCAAAAAAGTGTTGACAAGGGCCACACTAGATAGCTTTGCGGACACTAAATAGCTTTGTCTGTTGCAAACCCCTGGTCTAAACCAACAGGAAAAAATTCCGTTTTTCATTGACCAGTAGGTCGTTTTGTATCAGTGGTTGCTTTGTTTTTTGAAGCAAACTTGCAATACACGGTAATATAAAATGACTGCCAACAGATATCGGATTTATCAGGTTGTCCCAAGTTTTCATCGAATACCAGAATGCAGAAAACACTTGAAAGTAATAATTCTTGTTTAATTCCAGGTTGTATATACAGCATTGGTGGAGTAGTATCAGGTCGTTCACCAACCAAGTAGAAAGATTTGACCCAACATATCAACTTGGTCTTTGTTGCATCCATGAATGAAGCAAAGGATGGTCGCAGCTGTTGAAAATGAAGGAAAAATATATGTTCTAGGTAGGTTGGTGTTTGTTGCTAAAACTGTACGAGGACTCGAGAAAAAATAATTAGTTTTACTTAAAATAGCAATTAACCAGAAAATTTCAATGACCGTGCTTCAAGATATCAAATGCATTGCCATTATGTTTAAGCATCGTCATGAACTACTAATATTCCATTCATTTTCTTCTACAAGATAGCAGAATTATATTGTTATGTGACAAATCATGTTGAAATGTTTGTGTACCTATATACTTACACGCATGCAAAGGTCAATCCAATAGCCGTATAAACTGTAAACTCATAAATACTTATGGTACTGTTGCGTACTTCTTACTAGAAATATTAACTAGTTAGGGTTGGAATTCGGATTGATATTCTGACATTCATACCAGGTTCCAAAATCTTCAGTTCAGGCTAGTTAAATTTTCCGCATTATATTTATCACCTTGCAGTTGTTACCTGCCAACATGTTAGTTCACTTTCCCTTTTTATTTATTTATTACTTAGTCTTGTAATTGTCAATAGATGGATATACATTGTTTTGTATCATTAACAAAATTGCAAGCAGATTAACAAACTGTTTATTTCATTCAGGTGGACAAACAAATACGCTTGACAACTGTTGAACGATATGATATTTCAACGAACGTGTGGTCCACGGTAACTCCCATGTTAACTAAACGGAGCTGGTTCAGTGCTTTTGTGATTGATTCAAATATTTATGCAGTTGGAGGAAAAAACAGGTAGTGTTATTGAAATTTATTGCAACATAGTGGGGAATAGTGTCTTCTGTTTCTGGAGATTTTGTTCTGAAATACTTATTCCCAAAGAAATATTTGTTCTCCTGTATTCATTACTACACTGATTCTCAACCAGTGGGTCATGGCTCACTGCTGGCCATAGAGATAGTTTGAAGTGGGCCACAACCTATTAAAAATTACTATGGTTATTGAAAAGTTTAGTTTCATTTGTGTCATTATATTCATATTTTACTGTAGAAGCAATGAATGATGCTGCTGCATTTAATCTAACTATTAAAGTGTAAATATATTCATTTTTGCCAAAAAGTCCTGTTTCCTTGTAGTTTTCCCTTTGCATGGGAAAGTTAGTGGGCCGCAGAATTTTTAGGCAACGAAAGAAAATAGGTTGAGAAACACTGTATTACTATAAGCATGAGGCCCATCGAGCCAGAGTCCAGACCATATTGACAATGCTTACAAAATAAACAGAAATCTTTACATTTTTTGAAAATATATTCATAACTTTGGCTAGATAAACGCTGTTGGTTTGAGCTTAATTCTTAGTGCAGATAGAAGAAGCAGTATATTTATAAACATAGTGAACATTAGTGTCTTCTGTTTCTAATGATTTTGCTACAAAAAAAATGTTTGTTTCCTACATCCATCACTGCAAGCTTGTGACCAATGTCTGTTTGTTTCGTCGACGATTACAGAAATCTTCCATTATATTTTGTAAAAATATTCATAGCTATAGCTGGATAAAAGAAAGGAGTATATTTATAATGTCGACTAGGAGTTTTGTATCAGTCTCTCACGGTATCCGGCCATTTTTACTTTTTCATACCTAGTCGAGTCAATATAGAAATTGAAAATGTTTTTTCAATCTTACTTCAAACTAGTTATCTTGCAAAACTGAAAAAGTCTTCGTTGTATTTTTTAGTTCACCAGGAAGCATTGAGAAGTTTGATTTCAAGAAGAATCAATGGGAGATGATTGACATAAAGAACATGAATCTGATACTCATGCAGTGAAGATTAATTTGAATGATTTAATTGTATGTGACAGAGAATAGTTAGTTACCATTTAAAGGACATACTGTAGTTTATGTTTTAATCTTACTATTATGAAATTGTGATAGATATTTGACATTTAATAGGTGCTCGTGTTACCACTGAGTAAATTTTTTAAACTTCTATAATGATTTCTTGCATTACTTACCGTAATTAATTTATAGTTTTCTTAAATGTAATTACTCAATGACATTGCCTAGAAAACTTCAACTCACTGGACATAGCTATGTTTACTACTGATGTGAAAAATTTTTTTAAATGATTTGTTTGTATTAAATACCCTATATTTGTTTGTAGCATTTTTTATGTGAATTTCGACAGTGTGTAGTCGGACAGAATTGATGCCCATATAAAAAAAATTGTTGGTTGATGGACATTTGACTCCTGCTCAGACAGGAAAACAGAAGTTTATAAATCTTACATTGGCCTTGACTCCCAGCCCGATTTAGCTTGCTTATCATTTAAAGTTAATTTTTAGCAAATTGGAGTGGGGATTCTATATCCTTGTTATGTAAAATTTGTCACCAAATATCATAGGTCATTGGAAGCGAGTGTTATATATAGCCAGTGGCCAGTAAAAATTAAATTGATTTATTAATTTCTATTCAGTTTTTAATGCCATTCGATATTATCTGGGTATGAAAATATTGCCTTGTGCATTCTTCAAGCGGTTTCTTCCTTCAATTAAATTCACTTATCATTTCTTAATCAAATCCGTGAATGAATTGCAATTTTATAAATTAGCAGATGCCTTTTCCGCACAATATAATATATTCAATATAGTTTTACTTTAAACAAACCTTTCAGTGCTATCTGCAAAATACTTATACAATAAAATTGCATTCATCTTGTATGTATGTTGTTAAAGTTTATTTCTGCTTTCAATATATTCGATGATGATTATTTTTTTTTTCATCTTTGCTGTATATTTATCGCTTATATGCAATCAATACTTTACTTACCATGCATCTATCGCTGAATTCAATCTTCACTTTTTATCTGTTTAAAATCCGCCGCTCTGTCTTTTTATCACATAGTTTTGAATTGATTACGGTTTGATGCATTCCAATGTTTGAACTTTACATTGTGACAAACCTAACCTTTATTAAATACTAACGAATTAATTAATTTGTCATTGTAGTGTCTATCTTCAATGTTTTTTTATCTTGCTAAGCTTTCCCAAGGCAACACACGATATGAGGCTTTTACTGCTACAATTCAGTATGCACAAAAGTAACTGATTACAACTTAATAAACAGCGAATAACACCTTACAATAGAACCAGCACGAGCCACGCCGTCAATGTCCTTCTGCTCCCCTTGACATATCCTTGCGCATTTATATCGCGCAGGACTAAATCAATCATGCAATTCATGACCATCAAACCATGAACACTACATCACTCCTTTGTTACGAGTAGATGGTAAACTAGACTACTAATTTCATTACAAAAGTCTTTAAATCTGGAAGGCAGTTTTCGTTCTCGCCTTGGACGCTCATAAGGCTGAGTAATTGATTCCTCCGAATTTGGCCTGGTCGCGTTTGGAGCAATTTGCGACTCTGTGGCTTTATTGTCAATTTCATTCTGGGCGTATTTCTTTACAAATGTTGAATTGCGACGAAATTCTTTTCCATTTTCATCTCTGACTGTGACTTCCCCTCCTTCCTTCTTGACGACTTCACACGGAAATTTATTGAAGTTTGTCGACATCTTGTCAACTTTCTCTTGCTTAACGAGCACCGAATCTCCGACCTCAACATCTTGTAAAATTTATCTTCTGTTGTAATCGGAGTACAATTTCCCCTTGTAGCTTTTTCTCCAGTCTCTGTCCGGTGTTCTTCGCCGATTATGTTGTATTTTGGTCCGATTTCTGGAAGCTTTGTTCTCATCTCTCGACCAAACATCAAATAATATGGCGATACTCCCGTCGTTGAAGTAGAAATTTGTTTAATTCAGATTTCCAATCTTTACCTTCTACTTGGGCTATTCGTATGGCTTTCATTAAACTTCGGTTTTGTCTCTCCACCTCGCCGCTCGCTTGTGGCCACAATGGAGTAGTAGATTTATGTTGAACTCCATGTTCGTTCTAAAAATGATTTGAATTCATTAGATACAAGCTGTGGTGCATTGTCAGTTCTTAACGTAAGTGGAATTCCGTAACGTGAAAATATGGTGCTCAACGCTTCAATTATTTTCTTACTTGTTGTCGACCGCACAATTACAATTTCATAAAAACGACTGTAGTACAATTACCATTATGTTATCACCAGAAGGCAAAGGTCCTAAAACATCGGCAAAACAATCTATCCAAGGTCCACTGGGTGGTCGTGTTCGCGTCATTTGGTCCAGGCGGACTATACGAACTTGTTACCTGACATCCATTACATTTCCGTTCAGCATCACGATCAATGTTTGGCCACCACACTTTACTTCGAAGTCGATTTTGGGTCTTCACAATTCCTTGGTGTCCTTCATGTGCAAGCTCTAGAACACGTTTTCTGAGTATCTGTGGAATTACAATTCTCGTACCACGTAAAATTAATTGACCATAAATACAAAGTTCATTCTTCACATGCAAAAATGAATTACCACACTTTGACCAATTCTGTGATTTAATGCAATCTCTCACAATTTGCAATTAGGGTCTTTAGCAGATGCCTGCTCAATTTCATGTGGCGTCAAAGCAATCGGGAACTACTTTGCACAACCATTTAACCAGATTTACCAAGTTAAATTTTTCACATGCCCACACTATAGCTAAAGCTTCCTTTTCCGTCTGGCTATATCGTCTTTCTACGTCTGACCATTGTCCTCGAAGCATACGAAATTACTCTCCAATTCCGTCTTGCAATTGGGTTAAAGCGGATCCTAGTCTGTCGGTGAAGCATTTGCAATTATTCTTGTCCTGCAGTCAGATCTGAAATAAGCTAATGTGTTTGCATTAGTTAATGAACGTTTCAATCTTTCGAATGATTTTCACACTGCTTATCCCAATCAAACTTAGAATTTTTCTTAGTCAATGCACGTAAAGGCGCTGCAATCGAAGAAAGGTTTGGTATAAAACTTTGCACAATATTGAACAAAGACCATAAAAGATTTTACTTCTCTGGCATCTTTTGGTCGTCGTGCATTTCTTACTGCCGCCACCTTTTCCTCACAAGGATCAATACCTTGACATGTGAGCTTATGACCAAAAACTTGAATCTCAGGAAGTCGAAATTGAACATTTCATACCATTCAGTGTTAGAACCGGCTTTGTCCAACTTTATCAAGAACATCATATAATCTTTCATCATGTTCCTTCACATTCCGCCCATGGATAGTGATATCGTCACGCTATGTTTGCGACACCCCGACAGTTCTTCACAACCGTCTCTGATTATTTGCTGATACTTTTCTGGTGCAGATGATAAACCAAACATAAGTCTTTTGTATCTAAAAATTCCATTATTAGTTACGAACGTTGTGATATATCGGCATTTCAGATCTAACTTCGAAAATACGAAAATACGGCGCGAGTTCGTCTGCTGCACTTTTTTAGATCTTAAAAAAGCTTTCGATACAGTGAATCACAGTATCCTTACTCATAAGTTAGCACATTACGGTTTCAGAGGTACCGCGGAAATTACTATGTGATTACCTGGCCAATAGATTCCAATATGTTGAATTGGGTTCCAATAGATCTCCAATGATGCCCATTCATTGTGGAATTGTGCAAGGATCTGTACTTGGACCTCTTGCGTTTCTGAATTTCATAAACGACTTATCTAACAGCTCAAATCTTTTGAGCAAATTATTTGCTGATGACGCTTGTCTGCTTGCCAGTGCGACAGATTTGACCACATTACAAAATAAGGTGAACACTGAAATAAATAAAAGACATGACTGGATGACATGCAATAAACTTACAGTAAATATAGATAAATCTAAAGTCATGTTATTCAGTCCAAACTCTCGCATTAGACATATGAATTTTTCAATAAAAATTAAAGGCTCCGAATTGGAAATAGTCTCGTCTTATAAATATCTTGGGCTCCACATTGATAGTCAGTTAAAATGGAATACACACACCAATGAAATCCATAGAAAACTGTCAAGATTATTTACAAAATTCCACCTTGAGAACCGTTTACTTTGCACTTTTTCAATCTCATATACAATATGCCATAGCTGCTTGGGGCTCTACAACTCAGTCCAACATGCATAGATTAGAGGTTTTACAGAATAGAGCCGTTAGAATCCTCGCTAGAGCACCATATCGTTCGAATTTAAATTATTCATACCATAAAACTAGAGTGCTTAAATTGACTGACATCCATAAACTAGAAATCTCAAAAATTATGCATCAATTTCAAAACAATCAATTACCAGCAGCTTTTGACAATTATTTTGTCTCGCTAAGTTCAGTGCATGAACATAACACTGGTTCTTCAACAAGGCAAAACTACTTTGTTCCTCGCTTCTCACTTGCCAAATCCCAAAAGTCCATCAAATTCATAGGTGTGCGAATTTGGAATAACCTACCCCAAACCCTACGTGATTCTTCTTATGCCACTTTCAAAATAGAGTATAAAAAACTCATGATTTCCACCTACCGGTCCAGTTGAATTTGCAAAGTGAATTCTCCAGGATTACTTGATCATACAATGAGTTTACTCGACTTGATCCACAGTCCTCGAGTCCAAGTAACCTGTAATAAACATTTTACTATTCTTAATAAATGGAATTATCAATGTTTATTTGGCAAATTTTTCGGATATCTACTTAAGATACTTTTATTGATATATATTGTTAATATACTGACTCACTTATGCCCTCACAGATATATGTGGAGGTACATTTACGCTTTTTCAAAAAACAAAATGTCTCAAAAATTAGAGCCAGCATATGCCAGGATTCTGGTTCCAGTAGATTTGACAGCACATTCTAGGCCAAAATGGGATTATGTTGATCAGCTGTCCGACTGACCCATACTATTAGTATATTTATTTTATATGTTTGTAATTCTGTGAATTTTCCATTTTTATAATTGAGTGACTTATATATTCTGCATGAATTGCCTTATCATAGTAGGCTATTGTACTGCTGTGACTTTAAATTTATGTAATTTATTGACATAAATTCATGTAATTTATTGACATAAATTCTGCATGAACCGTCCTATTGAACTGTTGAACAGTTGTGTATATACATTTTTTTAATCAATGATTTCTATATTCTACATGACCTATTCGATCGCACTTCAGAACCGTTGTGATTTAAAATTCTGAAATTAGTTATATTTATGCCACACAAAATGACTATTTGTAAGTAATGTAACTCAATGCAATTACCTGGTTTAGTGATCTCTTAATCCGTTGCCCAAACCTGTAGATACATTTTATTCTTTTTTCTCTCTTCATATTATCCTCGTGTACAAATTCGTCCCCAGCCTTTATGAACCATGCATCAGCACAGTGCCGGTACCGTCCAACTCAGCTTGCAATATGGTGCTCCAGTCACTTAGACGTTACCGTATTTGTGCCGTAGTTGCCATGGTTATCTGCCAGTCGGCGTTCGGAGTCGTTTGCTTAGTGAGTCCGGAAATATCCGGTCTTTTTAGACATATTTCTGCCAATGTTAATATTTTGGCGTCCGACTCCTCCCTTTAGTACTGTATTTAGTTCGATTTTTGTTCTTGTATAACCCAATGTTAGACTATTCATAGGTGTCGTTGCTCGATAACCAATGCTGGTTTATCGCGTCCCCTTTCACCCTGAAATGCATTATTTTCCTCTCTTTTCTTATCTCGTTCTGTATGTACAGTGTGTATTTCTTGGTGTACTGATTACTTCCGCTCAAGTCGTGGAGTAAGTCTTCAACAGTCGGTATAGGTTGCCTTTCACGGAGTATGGCTTGGTTAGCTCGGCCAATGACATTAAACAACATGATGCGCAACTCCGGCATTTTTGTCCGAAGATCGTATTCGATAGCACGCTCCAATGCACATACTTGACGAGACGAAAACGAGCGGATGTGTGCTGCTTTCAAGGCGTAGCACGAATGGTGTTCGTGCCTGCTTCGACAGTTGTTGTCGATTTTAATGATATTTTGGAAAGTTAAGGTAAAAAGAAATCGGAAAAAGGTAAGGTAAATAATATTGTGGTATATCACACCCGGGCATCGCACTGTTAAGTACATGTGGGAAAGACAGCCTTTGTCAAATACTACGAAGTTATTAATTCAGTACGGTACGTAGTTGCCCATTTGCCGAAATTACATATTTACTTACCCCTTATGGTTTCAAATAGTTCATGCACCTCCAGTTAGATTCTTTTAATCAGTGAGGATATTTACTCATTGTTGATTGCTGCTCATTGTAATATACTATTGCGCATTCACTTATATTTGCGTATTGAATCAAAGTGTTAACAAGTTCACCTAACATTTCACTCATACCGGTCTATCTTGTATAGTCTGATCTCTCAAGTATTTGGAGCCGCGAATGCTTGTAATTTTCTGACTAAACCCTTTTATTAGTTGGTTTATATACCAAATTCAGTAAAATATGAGATATTGGATTTATTAGCTTTTCTATTCTAAACCATATAGACTGCTTTATTTATTCTTAACGAAAATTAATAAATCTCCTCTCTTTCTTCAGATGTGAAAGTTGTGGACAAACCTGTCTAAGCATTGTGAGACTCCTGCAGCACAAGAGGTAATAGCAGAAATAGTAAGTATATCAATCAAGAAATTAAGCCGACATAAAGCAAAACTTTCAACTATTCGTCTAATTTAATTTCCTATTATTTATTCACAGGACAACTATAGCAGAAGGGGAGATATCAGAAGTCTGGCGACATATCAGTGACAGTGTGATTCCAAGAAATATAATTAGAGTACTCCATAAATGTTTGCAATAGAAAAACAACCTATGGAGGCATGCAAAGACATTTGACCCTCCGGTAGAGTTGTGTATGGCCCCCACATCCTGCAGGGCTTGAGGAAAAAAACTAAAACTTCCCAGCGTAAGATTGCATAAGCGGTCTTATTTGTAAAAAGGCACAAAACACGCCAGACATACTTAAAACAGCTTTGGAAAATGAGGATTACGGGTAACTCACTGCACCTGTGTTATATTTGGTCATCAACTTTTGTTAGTACTATAGAAGAAATTACGGAAGGCGTATAATCATCATTCATGATAAAATACTATCATATATTTTTGGACAACTTCAATCTAGACCAGGGATCTCAAACTCGCGTCCCCAGAGACTTCCAGTGCGGCCCTCGAACGCTTAACAATAATTGTAATAGTATTTTGGAAGTTTTTTTTTTTATCTAAATGTAATAGATTTTTTAAACCTTTTAAAGTGAGATTGATTATCCACACAGAAAACAATTTACTGAAAGTAGTTTTGGAATAGTAATTTTATTTTGTCCACATTTTGACCCAATTAAGAATACACATCAAGCTAGCAAAAGAATACTTGAATAAAACACTTGAGTGATTAAATCAAACGCAAAGTACATGAAGAAAGTGGCATTTTCGAAGAAAATGGGAGTTGCAATATTTCTGCTTTCCACAAAATTTTGAAGCACATTGTTTAATTTGTCATATTTCCATCAATACAATGAAAAAACACAATAAGCTCAGCAGTCAATATGACAAATTCGAAGACCAACTTCGAACAGAAATTTCCATGTGTTTGTATATTAATATAATTATACAACGACTTGGTTACTAAAATCAATATCAATAATATTTCAAGCAATCCTATGCACGCAATGTGGTGCGAAATGTCTTGTCGAAAAAAATCTGTCATTTTTTTTTTACTGATCTATACATGAAATGATAAAGTAACTTTTTTTGCATTACTGGAATTAATTAAACATTTGCAAGATCCAGATTAACCCATGATCATGTGGCCTCGTTATTTAGAGTTGGTACTATAAAATCATTTCAGCCTGGCCTTAGTATGCTGGTGACATTTTATGATTTTTTTATAATAATTACAGTAACTTGCAAATGTTGCAATAATAGTGGAATGCAAATATCAATATGTAATTGCATTTGAAATTGAAGAAATAATAAAACTTAATCCAACTGTTTAGTTGCATCACAATATATGTCACAAACTAAAACTATCTTAAAAATATCTTTCAAGTATACATTATCAAAAACTGTTTGCGGCCCTTTTTACAATTTCCAAATCGCAATGCGACTCTCGAAAACCCATGAGTTTGAACCACTGATCTATTCTAGACGATTCAAGCATTGCTTTGGGAAATAATATCACTTCAATTAAATTGAAATAATCTTGCTATATTAAATACAAAATCGTTGCTATTATAAAGGTAAACCAATTCAGTCACTCGAAATATATTGGCCTTCACAAAGCAATGGAGGCAAAATTGAGAGTTCATGAGCTATGAACATTTGTTCTTTTCTTGTCTTGAACTTTTCATACTCCACAGCCCCTATTAATTTTTTATAATTTTAATTACCATGTGATGGTCATACATATCTTTAACTTGTATTTTCTGTCATGATGTATTATCTCAATGTGCCAAACTATTAATTAGTGTGCATATTTTTGCTTCCAGATGACATAAATGTATTGTCTTGTTTATTACCTCAGCTTGGAGTATTTGACAAGAAAAAGGTGCTAGTAAATTAGGTAAAAAAATTTTTAACTCTTTGTTATAATCAGAATTCACAATCAATAGGAATTATAAACAGCCGACAATCAATAAGAATTTTATGCGAAATCCCTCAGAATAAATTTGTCTAAAATCAGAGAAAGGCAAAAATTATAGGTAGTTTCCACTTTCCATCCACACAAGCATTTCAAGAAGACTTGCTCGAGCCAAACTAAATAAGCATCGTCAGGTGATCGGTAAGGCTGCAAGTTGAATTCAGCCCTGCAACCTCCTACATAGAAGATAATATTAATTAGTGGGCTATGAGCTAAATTCCTAAATTTAAACATACCTATCTACGATGCATTATGTACCAGCAATGTTACCTACGATTAACTGAATATGTAATATGTCTAATAAATTCACCTACAAAAGCAAGTTCGATAGGTGCAAACTTTGTGTTATGGAATTGTATCACAGCACAGTTTTGTATGACACCCTCTTTAAATGAAATTTCAATGATTAAGCGCAAACATCAAAATTACTAACTTTGAACTTTGTCATTATCTGCAAAATGTTCCACACAAATCTTTTCGCTATCGCGTTTGTAATCTTCTCTGATAAAAAAAAACGTCTATGATGTCCAAAATTGCTCTTTACAGCTTGCCTGCCATTCCAGCTTTCCAAGTGAGCAAAACTTCTTAGATATAGAGATTATTTTGTTTCGTTACAGGCGCAAAAAGGCAGGCACTACACGTAAAAAAGACGCCGAGTAGCAAAAACGAGCGGAAAACGGACGCGAAAGGCGACGAGAAATATGTGCATTGGAGCGTATCATGAAATACAATCTTTCGCCTGTAGTCTTATGGAGTGACGTCAGAGTTGCCTATCATGTTGTTTAATGTCATTGGCTCGGCGCATGTCAACACAAATTCTAATATCTCCATCCTTTTTATGATCTACAGTTTAGGCGAAATCCAGGTACTTGGACCTTCAGGCGCTTTTTCGATTATGTCTGCTTTCAGCATTTCATCTATTTTTGCATCTACTTTGTCTCGCAACGCATATGATATACGGCGCAGAGGTTGAGCAATTGGTTTAACAGTTTTGTCAATATTCAAAGTCAATTTGTAATCTTTTAAAAGGCCAATTCCTTCAAACAATTTTCCATACTTGGGAAAAATATATCAGAATTTGAAGTATCAATAGTTTTGGAACTCACTGCATTCACGGGCCCCACTCTTAATACATTAAGTTTTGTTGCAGCTTCTTTTCCTAACAAAGTTTGACAATTGCCTTTGACAACAACAAAATCAGTCCGACATTTACTTTCATTATTCAAAACGAAAACATTAGCAGTAAACGTACCTAAGACCTGGAGTGGTTTAGTACTTCCATAAGCGTAGAGTGATGGTATCGAGCATTTTCTCGAATTACACACAATTCTCTCACTCTAGAGAGAATAAATGTCGTTCAAAAGGAATATTGGATTTCGGAGTAAAATATTCATCAAGTAAATTTAAAGTTTCGGTAAATGTTTTCTCTTCATCGAGTCCCGCTAAAGTATAAAAAATATCTTGTACCTTTACACCAGCGGTGAACAAAAGCAAAGCTTTCTTGGAGCTATCTTCCGTCGTTCCCTTGGCCGTCAAATATAATTTAAATGAACGTCTCCAACGTTGCCACCGTTGGGAAATACCGTGCGGGTCTCCATCGGAATCAAATGGTTGCATGGTTCCAATGTTATTCTGCATGATCTTGGATGGCTATATTCCTGCTATATAGAATAGATCTGTTTCAATCAAAAAAGTTACCAACGATTTCCTTTATCGTCCAAGTCCAGCAGGTCTTCGCCAATTGTAATTCGATATCTTCCAATATCCTCGTCGCCAGTTGTAGTG